GGGTCAGATCAAGGCTCGGCTGTTCGATGATCCGCATTTGGCAGTCCTCAGAGAGACGGTGCTATAGGGTAGTGCCAAGGAGGTTTCTATTGGCGAGGCTGGTGTTCTACGACTCCAAGGTCGCCTATGTATTCCTAATGTCGATAGCTTGAGGGAGAGGATTCTGGAGGAGGCACACAGTTCACTATATTCCATTCATCCAGGTGCTACGAAGATGTATCATGACCTGAGGCAGCATTACTAGTGGCGGGGGATGAAGAAAGACATAGTTTAGTACGTGGCTAGGTGTTTGAATTGCTAGGAGGTTAAGTATGAGCACCAGAGGCCAGGTGGCCTACTTCAGCAGATGCCTATACCTGAATGGAAGTGGGAGCGCATTACTATGGACTTCGTAGTTGGGTTGCCGCGGACATTGCGGAAGTTTGATGCAGTTTGGGTCATTGTCGACAGGTTGACCAAGTCGGCACACTTCATTCCGGTGGTGACTACTTATACTTCAGAGAGGTTATCTCAGATCTACATTCGGGAGATAGTTCGGTTGCATGGTGTGCCTATTTCCATCATATCAGATAGAGGCCCTTAGTTCACTTCTCATTTCTGGAGAGCCGTACAGAGTGAGTTGGGGACCGTGTAGAGCTCAGCACAGCATTCCACCGCATACCAACGGGCAGTCAGAGCGGACAGTTCAGATTCTGGAGGACATGCTTAGAGCATGTGTGATTGACTTTGGAGGGCAGTGGGATCAGTTCTTGCCTTTGGCTGAGTTTGCTTACAATAACAATTATCAGTCCAGCATCGAGATGGCTCCATTTGAGGCTTTATATGGTCGGCGATGTCGTTCTCCTATCGGGTGGTTTGAGCCTGGTGAGGCTAAGTTGTGTGGTACCGATTTGGTGAAAGATGCCTTGGAAAAGGTAAAGTTGATTGAGGAAAGACTTCGCACAACTCAGTCCAGACAGAAGAGTTTTGCAGATCAGAAGGCGCGGGATGTATCATTCATGGTCGGCGAGAAGGTTCTCTTGATATTCTCGCCGATGAGGGGTATTATGAGATTTAGAAAGAAAGGCAAGTTGAGCCCCAGGTTTATAGGCCCATTTGAGGTGTTGAGGCGAGTTGGGGAGGTTGCCTATGAGCTTGCTTTAACCCCCAGCTTATCGGGAGTTCATCCAGTTTTTCACGTATCTATGCTTAGGAGGTATCACGCCGACTTGTTTCATGTGTTAGACTTCAGTTCTATTCAGCTAGACGAGAGCTTGGGTTATGAGGAGGAGCCAGTTGCCATTGTTGATAGACAGGATCGCCAGTTGAGATCCAAGAGGATTTCTGCGGTAAAGGTCCAATAGAGGGGCCAACTAGTCGAGGAGGCGACCTGGGAGTCCAAGGAGGACATGTGGAGCAGATATCCACGCTTATTTAGCACTTCAGGTATGAATCTAAACCCGTTCTAGGACGAACGTTTGTTTAAGAGGTGGAGAATGTAACGACCCGACTGGTCCTTTTGCTTTCTAGGGCCCCGTTTACCTAAATAAGACTTCTCGCACTTGCTTTTACTGATTTATGACTTGCGGGGTGGTTGGTTTGGGATTTCGAAGAGTTTGGGTTGAAATCGGAACACTTGGTTCCTTAAGGTTGGCTTAAAAGGCCAAGTTTGACTTCGGTCAACGTTTTGATTAAACGACCTCGGAATTGGGATTTGAAGGTTCCAGCAAGTTCGTATGATGATTTCGGACTTGGGCGTATGTCCGGATCGGGTTTTGGATGACCCGAGAGCGTTTTGGCACCTAATAGTGAAAGTTGATTCCTTAAGGATTTTGAAGTTCTTTAAATTTGGTTTGGAGCGGGTTTTTATGATATCAAAGTCCGAACAGAATTCCAAGATCGGGAATAGTTCTGCATTGTCATTTAAGACTTGCACGTAAAATTTAGTGTTAATCCGAGTAGTATAAGTGTGTTTCGTTACATTGGATGTGAATTGAAGAAATTGAAGTTCATAAGTTTGATTCAATTGGTTTTAGGGGGTGATTCTTACATTTAGCGTTGTTTCGGGACTTCCGAGGATTCGAGCGAGTCCGTTTTATGATTTCAAACTCGTCGGTATGTTCGGGCGGGGCCTCGGGGGCCCCGAGCGTCAATCGGACGAGGCTCGAGTTAAGTTAGCAAAATTTAGAAGGAGCTGAAGCTCTGTCATACCGCACCTGTGGTTAGCCAGCCGCAGGTGCGAGACGGCAGAAGCGGCCCACCAATCGCAGATGCGGCCCAAGGGGAGGAGCCCAGGAACCGCAGTAGAGTGGCCCCCAGATTGCAGATGCGGTCCCAGCTAGCCCGACCAAATTCCGTAGATGCGGACGTTCCCTTGTAGAAGCGAGACCACATATGCGGTCCCCTAACCGCAGGTGCGTAAAACGCAGAAGGCAATGCCTTCATTTAATACGGGAATGTGTCATTTTTGACACATTTCATTCATTCCTTGGATGATTTGGGGGGATTTCAGCCTAGCATCTTCAGATAAGTTATTCCTACTTAATGTGAGTTTAATACATAGTTTAGGGGTAGATTACACCATGTAAATTAGTGAAAATTGTGGGTTTAGAGTAAAACCTAGGGTTTTGACAAAAACAAGATTTAACCACGAAATTCGTAGGAAATGAAGTGAAAATCATATATTCTTCACCCTTAGGTTATGGGTAACAACTTCCCTCAAAAATTTTCGAAATCCGAGCACGTGGGCTCGGGGATGAATTTTAGGGAACTTGTATTTAGGTTTGGGAAATTACTTTAATAGCTAGAATATAAACTCTTGAGCTTGTATTTACTAGTTCTTACCCCATTTGAATAGTTTTGGATCGTTCAGCTCCGAATTGAGGGTTTGAGCGCGTTCTTGAAATTGGAAGTAAGCTTTGGAGCAAGGTGAGTCTCCTTTCTAACCTCGTAAGAGGGAAATAACCCCCTAGGTGAATTAAATAAATGTATGTGACTATCTGTGGGGGCTACGTACGTACGTGGTGATGAGAGTCTGTGCGTAGCTACTATTATGCTAATTGTCCGGGTGGATTAGGGCCCGTATCATGCCATACTTGCAAATGCTTACGTTCTTGCTTGCTACTGAGATCACTTAGGACATGCTAGAAATTGTAAATAAATATAAACGGATGTACGCACTTATTTGAAAACTTGTATGAATTTATTTGATTATAAATGAGCAATGTACGCTTACTTGATAATAAATTGCTATTTATGGATCGGGCCGATCGCCTCGGTAAAAAATAGATGCATCTATGGTTCGCGTCATTCGACCCTTTGGCAGTGCACAGTTTATTATTATGTCGGACCGGGCCGTACGACCTCGGCATAATGTGCGCATGTTGATTATGTGGAACTCATCCATGATTTACTCTGTTTAAATGCTTTGAAATGTAACCTATTACATGACATGACTGCAATTGATATATTGTTAAGAAATAATATCTTGTTTCTCCTTGTTCTGAGACTGTCATTATATTCATGCTATTCATGCTTAGCGTAACCTTTAAATATTATTATTGTTGACCTTAGTAGGTGTCAAGTCGACCCCTCGTCACTACTTCTTCGAGGTTAGACTGGATACTTATTGGGTACATGTTATTTATGTATTCATACTACGCTTATGTACTTAACTGTACAGGATTTGAGGCAGGTGCATCTAGTTACCCGTCTGGCGCGCGTTTGTGACCCCTGATCGAGATTTCACAGTGAGCTGCCCCTTCTGAGCCGTTCAACAGCATACCAGAGTTCTCTTCTTTTGTTGTTGTTATGTACTGTCTATTCTGTTTCATGCAGTAGGATAGTGGTATTTTTTTATATATTCTACTAGTTGCCCTAGTACTTGTGACACTAGTTCCTGGCACAGACTGTGTAGACTATTATTTTGGGTTGTATTTCTATTATTGTTAATTTGTAAATTTTCGTTTGTTTTAAACTTAGGACTTGGTAAATGACGGGGTTGGCTGGTAAGATAAATGAATACTCACTAGTTGATTAGAGTTGGCTTGCCTAACGACGGTGTTGGGCGCCATAACGACCTATGATGGAATTTGGGTCGTAACAGAAATGAAGACTATTATTCATTAGTTCGATTCAGATGGAACCAGAAAATTCCTCTAATGAATTAGATCCCATCTGCTAACTATAACTCAACTCCGAGGGAATAATGAAAAAAAAATCCTCTACTCGAAAGCCGTTGGTGATATGATCTTTTCTTTCTTGGGCGTGGGCGAGACAAAGTCTTCTTAGTCTTCCGCAATTCCTAGCCTGTCGCTTGAATTTATGAAGATGGCGTGAACATTGGCACACAAAAAATTGAAAATCGTCCTAAATTCCTATTTTATTGCCCTAAAACGCCAAAAAATGAGGAAAAATCATGGCGAATCAATGACTATTATTCATTAGATCGTTTCTGATAGACCAAAAATTTTAAGGTGATTCGGAGTTTGTCCCCGGAATTCATGAAGATGGCGTGGACATTAGCACATGAAAAATCGGAAATCGTCCTGAATTTTTGTATTATGGTCCTAAAACGCGAAAAACCGAGGAACATACGTAGCGAAACAATAACTATTGTTCATTAGGACATTTTTGATGAGCCCACAAAATTTTAGGTGATTCCGAAACGTGTCGCTCGAATTCATGAAGATGGTCTTGCATTTTAAAGAAGAAATCACTCGGGAGAATTGAGAATATTTCCAAAAATGATCGAACTCTAATCCTACTTAAATGGTTCTCTTTATACTCAAGGTTAGATTAAACTTGCCTGATATACGAGTCCTATATAAAACAAAAAATCTTAAGAAATGAGAATGTTTCATCTCCTTGCAAAGCCAAAAAGTTTTATTCAATAAACAAAAATATTGACATCCACTACTAAGTCCATCAAAGTACAATACATTACTTTAAAGGGCAATAACTACAAGGCAAAAACAACATTAACTATGAAAATTCATGAATCCCAATAAAAGAAGATTAATTTACTTGCTCCTCTGGTTGAAATATTCAACTGTAGCTTTCATAATGGCAACCAGAGCTTGGAGATTGACAATAGTAAGATGAATATTTTCAGCATCTTTAGTCTCAAAATCAATAGTAATTTTTACTAAGATTAAATTCTCATCCCTTTCTATAACTTCAAACATAATCCCATAGAAATTTAATCCTAGATCAAAATATCCACCTACAACAATCTCGACTTCCTTCACTCGTTTTTCATCGTCAATTGAGACGAGTTTCTCTTTATAAGGAGCATTACCAGGTAAACCTAATATATTTGGAACAAAACAGAAAATCATCAATAAACTTAAATTACCAACTTACCACGTAAAAAATAAGAATCGAAAGGAAAAACCGTAATATGTGGTGGGATGGACGAGATTCCTCCTCTCTTAATCAGAGGTCTCAAGTTCGAGCCCAGAAAATAGAGTAATTCTTTATCAGGAGCGCTTCCCCCTAAAAAAAGCATACGTTGCCCGAATCTGGCCGATTAGTTACTTTGCACCAGGGGAAGGGGAAAGTGTGGGCTATAATTAGAGGAGGTGTATTCCCGGTACTTTCAAATCAAATATTTTTTATTCATTAGTTTACTATAAACGTCACATATAACTTTACCAAACTTCTACCTCCATAGAGAAGAAACTTACAAAAAAAGAAAAAAATCAAGAATAATCAATGAAATGAAAATAAAATGAAGATTTTTAATGGGATTTTAAAGTAATAAAAAAGATAGACTATGGATTCAATGGGCTAATACATATAATATTAAAACAAAAATGACTATGTCCGAAACGAGCATCATGAATGGTTAGAAAGATATTCAAGGCAAAGGAGTATTTGGAACAAACATCTTATTTGTTCAGTCATGTAATGGCACTGCACAACTTCTCTATAAGGAGTTGTCCAAAGAATGAGAGGGGTTTATCTTAAAGTTTCATAGAAAAGATTTAGGCTTGAAACACGTACAAAATGATTTCTTAAAAGAAACATTTGCTCACTTTCTTTCCCATAAATGCTATGGGATTACATTAAACATATTTGATAGATATGACAAACCTTTTGAATTTCTACGTTAAGCAAACAAAGGCAAAATCCTAGCCAGGAAACCAAGAATAATGAACCCGTTTTTTTATAGACAATTAAGAAAAGAGAGTCAAACAATAAATGAAAATTATGGGAAATTAATGACACATTTATTCGTCATTTTCAACTTTAAAACGTTACTACTATTTTGCTTCATTAATTCCCCCTCACTCCTAATTTCCCATTAAATATATACTCACAAATTAACCATTTCTCCCCCATTCCAATATTTTTATCAAAGACACAAGATGTCAAAGCTGATGAGGCTTGTAGCAATTGTCGCAGTTTTCATGTTTCTTCTTGTGACACCAATAGCACTAGCCATTGAAGAAGACTTCAACAATGATATTGATCTGCTAGATACATATGTTATTGATTATGATCAATCTGAGTCCAACTATGACGAAGAATCATATGATTCTTCGCTATATTCAGTTCCTAATCATAGCAATAAACAAACGTTGGCACCTGAGCCGTACCCTGGATTTCACACACAAGTGGGGGAATGTTTGGAAAAGATTTCGGACGATTGTGGAGTGATCATTTTCAACAGGATATTCGATAGTGGAAAGTATAGCGATGTTGAAGAGTGTTGCAGTCAGCTTTTGACACTGGGGAGAAAATGTCACAACATTATTGTGGAGTCTACTCTTGACAGTCCTGAGTTGAAGGGAGTGAATAAAACTGACGTTTGGGAAAATAGTGACAAGCTTTGGAAGGAATGTGGTGCTTCTGCTCCCCTTTAATTAATTTTTCATCTCTCAAGTTTATAAATGATACATTCTATATGTTTATTTTTTCTAATAAATTGTTAAAATCATAGTATGTGTGTAACGTTTTTTTTCTTTTTCGAGATATTATGTATGAGCCATCTTGCACATATCTCTACCATTCACAAAATTTTATGTATTATTTTAGAAAATATTCTAAGTTTATGTAATAATTCTGAAAATTATCATCACATAGTAACTTTAGTTTTTACCAGTAAATATAATGTAAAAAATAGTTACATACTTTATATAGTTCAAATCTATTTTTAAGTAGAAAGTAGTTAGTATATGTTTTTTCTAATTTTTCATGATGAAATGGGACATTCTGTGACTGACCTTTTTGTGTGGAAAATGATGTGTAATAAAGAAAAGACAGACTATGGATTCAATGGGCTAATGCTTATCTATACTATATTAAAAGTACGAAGGCCCTTAGCAAAATGACGTTCGCCTTTTTTACCCTTTAAAAATAGATTTCACACTAGACATATAGTCATTTTACTAATATTCTAATATTTAAAATTTTAAAATCAACTAAAATATGGTGTAAGAAGACCTAATATTTAGGTCCAATAAAAAAACTAATTTTGATGTTGAAATACGTTTTAGGAATGCAAATTTCAAGTTTTTGGATTCAAGTCATTTTTAGGAAAATTTTGAAGAACTACTACTACTTTTTTAATTTGACGAAAACAACTAAGTACTTTTATTAATCTTTTGTTATTTTATGGTCTATCGATTATACTAAAACTTGAGCCGTATAAGGAATTCAGATTAAAATACGCAAAATACGACTAATATAAGGGAATTAATTTATATTTATTAGTAATCAAGAGCTTTTAAATAGGTAGAAAACCGGTGAATTTATTAGTGATATGAAATATTTATTTTAACAACAAGAATTCCAACCAAATAAATAATTGGTTAATCTCAGAAATCACATCAATTGTAATGACGATGAATGACTACAAGTACAGATTTATTAATTCTGAATTCGCACTAATCAATATACTCACAAAGTTTACTAGCTTTGGTCGGTGGAATTGTACTTTTTTTAATATTTGAAGGTAGCAAATTAATTTTATTGGTATTTGACATAGAGGGGAAAAATTGAAATAAAAGTTATTGCTTATTTTTTACTTGGTGATTTAGACTTTCGTTCTGTGTTATTATTAGAAAAGATAGTTGCCTAACTCATAAAATTAAAATCATGTATCAAAATTATTCAAAGTCGCAAGTTGAAAGCTAATTTTTTTAAATAAAAATGACTAAAATCAAATCACATTAGATCTTTATTTAATAATAATAACTATGTGTATATTATTTTTATCTATAACTATAAAATATACATGAATATATCTGTCTATCTTATTTTAATGAGAAAAATGTTCATATAAATTGAATATAATTATAAAATTTAATAATTCATTGATATAGTTACACGCGCAAAGCGCATAGCCTAAATCTAGTAATATTAAAAGAAAATTTTATGTAGGGACTATGTCCAAAACGAGCAAATATTGATTTTAAGAAAGCATTTTGTACGTGTTTCGAGCCTAAATCTTTTCTATGGAACTTTAAGATAAGCCCCTCTCATTCTTTGGACAACTCCTTATAGAGAAGCTGTTTGTTGGCAATACACAACTTCTCTATAAGGAGTTGTCCAAAGAATGAGAGGGGCTTATCTTAAAGTTCCATAGAAAAGATTTAGGCTCGAAACACGTACAAAATGCTTTCTTAAAATCAATATTTGCTCACGTTCTTTCCCATAAATGCTATGGGATTACATTAAATAGATTTGATAGATATTACGAACCTTTTGAATTTCTACGTTAAGCAAATAGCGGCAAAATTCTAGCCAAGAAACCAAGAATAATGAACCCGTTTTGTTGGTATAGATAGTTAAGAAAAGAGAGTTTGTGACAATTGTTCCTTTTATTTTTGAGTTAAATTAATTGAACTTGATGCATATTGCCAAAAACTATACTGTTAAAATTTGTATCTCTGGCCTGCCCACCTTAGTGAGGAGGGAATGAGCTTTCTTAGCCATTTACAATATTGAAATTTAGAGTGTCATTTTTAGATCTCTTATGTGTAAAAGATAAATCTTTTACGTGTAAAAATAAATTTTCATATATAAAAAGAGAGATATGGTCATAATTAGCTGTACCAAAAACAAAAATTCCTATTGACTTTTCAAGTTGCATTAAGAGTTTCTAAGAAAGCAACCAAACACCCTTCTTACCACAAAGGAAAAAGCATACCGCAGAATGACCCATTCATACTTTACCAGCAAAATGAGTTACAGCTTGTTTGGATGGTTGTTCCCCGTTGTATCGTATTGTATTGTTATCCTAAAACAATGTTTGTTTTGATTGTTTCATTAAAATTGGTTGTATTGTATTGTTAAATCCATTGTTCCAGAAAAATGAAGAGTCCCCTTTTTTGAAACAACCGATTTGGTGTGGTGGGATTGTTTCCTATTTTTCTTTCCAATTATGCCCAACTTCTTACTCCACATTCTATTTTACCCTTTACCTTTTTTTCTATTTTAACTCCAAATCTCCAACCTATAACCTACTTTATTTTTTTCAGAACTTCTGCCGCCAACGTTAAAGGTGTTTTGCTGCCTTCTGTATTATTTTTCTCCTAATTTGCATTTAACTCGATTCTAATTAGTTGTGCTCCTTTGTTTTGCCTTCTTCTGTCTCGCTCATTTGTTCTGCTTTCTTAAGGTATTTTTCTTCCTTCTGTTTTATTTTTTAAAATTATTTTTATGCATAATTTTTGATAAATTTAATATTTAAACAATTGAGGGTAGTTTAGTATACTTATCAGTTACACTACAATACGATACAGTCAAACCAAACAGCAAAATATTATTTAACAATAACAAACAATACAATTTATCCAAACATTGTATTCATAAAAACGATACGATACAATACAATGCAATACATTATAAAACGATGGGGAACAATGATGAGTGTTAGGCAAATCAACAACATAGTGATGAGACTTTTAAATTTCTAGTTACAACGGACCTTAACAAGAAGCAAAAATGCTCTTAACTTCTCCCTACTTCTGCCGCACCTACACAGCACTCCCACCCCACAATCCTAAAATACTCATGGCATCACAACCACACTCCACCGATTCCAAAACCACAGAACCACCAGATAACGCAACTATGCGCAAATCGACACACCCTCACATGTCACAAACTCCGACCACCCCTCCTTCTTGAATAAACTAATTATAAACACACAATTATCTCCAAATCTCAATAATCTTCATCTTCAATTGCCTGCCATAGATCTTACCGATGAAAGCAATACAACCATCGACCCCGACAACTTTATTCCCGCTATTAATGAAGACAAATCAAGACTCTATTTACCATGGCAATTTTCAGTCATAGTGAAGGTCTTTGGACGTAAAGTGGTGTTATGTCGAGGAAGAGGCAAATCCGAAAATAAAGAAGATAAAGAACATCAAATTTTAACGTGGAAAACCCTTCAAATCGAAGGTAAAAACCACGGGATCACAAAGATCCAAAAAGCTCCACTATAACAATAAGAGGGTTACAAAAGTTCTCCAAATTGGCTACACAACAAGGGCCAAACACCGAGCAACAATAGCAATAAGAGCAACAACTAATCAATTGAAGAAAGAGTATAATCCACAAAACGAAGCTTCTGTTCGAGACTCGAAATTTGATGCTACGAGCCTCAAAATCCGATCTCCACCGTTCAAATCCAAGACCAAGATGTTATGAACAGTCAGTCAAAATTTCAGCCCGATCCAACGGTTAACAAATCGGAAAACGTGATTTGAAGTTGGCTGGTCGGAATAAAAATCTGCAGCAAAACAAATACTTTTTTTCTCTCTTCTCTCTTGATGAAAGCTCTCTCAAAACCCAGTCTTATGTGCTTAAGTCTTTCAAAGACTTGTATCAATGAGCATAGAATAATTCTCCAAGGTTGTCCTATTTATAGATCATGAGTGGTGCTTTCTCTTAAAGCCAAAACCCACTCAAAATAGGAATAAACCGAATCCAATTCCAAATAGGATTGGATACCAAAAGAGAATAGGATTAGGCCATTGGGCCTTTGGCTGGACAACATGGGCATGTGCCCAACAAACTTCCCCTCCAGCCAAGGGGCCAAATGTGTATTCAAGTAGAGGAACTATTGACAGGCTTCATGCCTGCCAATTTTCTACAAAATTCATGTTTATCTGCAACCACCGCCTTTGTCAGCATATCCGAAGGATTTTCATCAGTGTGTATCTTCTCGACCTCAAATAATTTCTCTTCCACGGCCATTCTTATCCAATGATACTTTCTATTTATATGTTTGGTCTTAGAATGAAAAGTGGAGTGCTTGGTGAGACAGATAGCACTCTGATTATCACAAAATAAGATGTACCGTGGCTGCTCAAAGCCAAGAT